ATCCTGTACATTGGTTGGTTTACTTTGTACAGTGTCTCTGACTGAGGTGGACGACAGGCTTGCATACTTTATTCTAAATTCTTCTTTTTTTTCTTTGCAGTTTTCTTTGTGCTGTCCATTCATTCTCAGTCTTGCTGAGAGGTTTAGGTTTTCAGTAAACATAAGGAAAAGGTTGTGAATAAAGCCGGAGTGTACTAGGGTACAAAAATAAATGAATATTGTACTAATCAAAACGTTAACTTATGTAAAGATTGCAAACAGGTCTCATTTAAATTAGCCTTTTACTAAATGCACTTTGACTTGTATGATAGAATATCTACTGTTATTTTTTTCTTGTTTCCATTTCAACCATAGACCACCTGTTCTTTTATATCTGTAGATTTATGTAAATCAGTACAAATAAAAGAAATCTGATTTAATGGTTCATCTCTTTGTGATTATTTCATTAATTAATGTGTCGTAGTTTTACTTGTTTGAATCACAAGTAACAACTAATTGTGTTGTCTGTTGCACACACACCTGTTGGACAAACTCAAACCACAGAACGTACTGATCAAACACAAATGGGTTTTAAGTGCTGGTGTTTGTCCGCAGGTGCAGCAGTATTTACCTACAGTAGGTGTACGTGTTCAGCATGCCACGATGCTACATAAAGAAGCTAGTGACCACATTTAGATCTCCTTCATAAAAGGCTCTATCTGCCTTGTGTTGACCCCAGAGCTGTGCAGTGAGGGCAGCTTAGTCAGCTGCCTGCAAACTCATACAAACTGCCTTTTGCTAGGTTGGGTGACAAACACAGGAAAGGAAAGGACAAAGGACAGACTTGTATCAGTATCCTGGCAGATTTATTTGATGTTACAGCAAATAAAAATCAATATCCAGCTGCCATGACAGGTACAGTTCTTCAGTGAGTCAGGCGATTGAAAGACCATATCTAATGTAACAGTAATACATAAATAGATCTTAACAGTATTAACAGTTATAAATAATATGACTTTTTTTTTGGTTCTCTTGATGTCATTTTGTCCAGTCGGGTGGAGTAACATAAATACAAAACCCTTTGAGGGTATTTAGGGTGTACAAACAAACACCTTCTGTTATGATTCATAACCGGACCCTGGGTGATTGTAGCTGACTCTTTCCCATTGGCTCTCTGTTATCTCTTTGCTGAGTTAAATTATGGCAAGTCGCCTTGTTGGCAACCCCTTAATTCGCTCAGAGGAAATCTTTGTTGCTTCTTGACAGATCTCTAAACCTTACCTTTTAATAGCTATTTTGTCAGTGCACTTGTGGTTAGGTTTGTTTACAAAGGCTTCAATGCCAACTAGTTGATGTAGCATTGCTTTTCTCAAATGATAAGGTACTTTGGTATCACAGGATTCTGGCCCGGTGATATCTGCAGCAGTGTTGTTATGACTGTAGGTGGATAGGAAGCCCTCCTCATAGAGAATGGAATGTCTCCATTATACTCAAAATAAAAAAAATAAACAGAGATTACCAAGTGGAAAAACCCAACTGGCAACAATCACAGAATACACAGAATAAATACAAACTACAGACAAGGAGTGTACAGAAGAAGCAACAGCACACAGTAACATACAGTACACAGAGTATATACGCACAATTGGCCTTACTTTTCTTGTGTAGACAGGACAACAAATATATATATCATCTTTCTCCAACACAGGCTGAGCTAAGGCCAAAGGTATGAGTTGTGTTTCTGAGAATTCATTAATGGAGGCAGGAGGACGGGTGGGAGGCAGCAAAGGAAAATGACACTGAATATCTGAAGGTAAAATCTAGCCTCCACTGGTTTAGCTACACACTTGGCCTTTTTTAGATATTCAGAGGTTTAATTTGCCTTTTTGGGCACAGGAGGTACGGTAGGAGGGATTCAACCACGCAGTGTTGAGGGTGGTTTTAGGGTGATTGGAGAATTCAGAGAACTGCTTTTCACAGGGTGAGCTCCTTCTGTACACCCCACAGGGTCTCAGCACTCTTCACCAGCTGCTTCTCCTCGTCGGCCTTCAGTGTCATTTGAATCACGTCTGTCAGGCCGCTGTTGCCCAGGACACAAGGGACGCTCAGGAAGACCTCATCCTTCACTCCATGCATGCCCTATAAGATGACAGGAGCACAGCAGGGTCAGGTTTAGCTGGACCATCTACGTTTGTGTAAAGTAATACATTTAATGAATTTTATCATGCAGGATTAGCCAGACAGCAAAATGTATGGCTTGCTCCCAATCTCCTCACCTGGACCAGTGTGGACACGGGGTGCACTTTGTGCAGGTTCTTAAGGATGCTTTCCACCAGGTCAGCCACTGACATACCAATGGCCCAGGAAGTGTAGCCCTTCAGCTTGATAACCTCATAGGCCCTGCAGTGCACACACACAAGTTATCAGATACAAGATACAAGATACAAGTTATCAGTCTGCATTAGTATTTGACTTTGTGTGTTTGCTCCCACTTTGTCATATTCCTCACCCATCATCTTTCCAGATGTTTTCATGCTAGGAATTCAACATTTTATCACCATGGGAAGTGCAACATAGCTGTATGTTTGTTCAGTATGTAATACTGTTTTGTGGTTTCTAATTGTCACTCCCCAATCTCTGCTGTGCTGATCTCGATGTATGCAGAGCAACAAATTAATAAATATTGATAAATCAAAAAACATGAACAGACGATGTCGTCCTGTTCCATACATTTAAATGTCAAACATGTTTATTTAAAATAAGACCTCTCCTCTACTGGCTGTACAGATGGAAAGCAAAGCACCTTTGCTTATGTTCATTGTTCTGTATTGAGACATCAATTGTGTAAATGTATCCCTGTCCCTCTTTTGAAAACGTGGATTTCACACCTCAAACCTTTGTAAACATCTTTGGTAAATCAACTATTGTGTTGTACACGGTTGACCTCCCTAAACACCGAGCTAATATGTGATAAGTCAGGTTGAATATCAGTAACATAATGGTACAATATCAGTGTTCACAGGACAAACTGTTGCATCACATAAAAGTAATAATCTTAAACATATCTATTTAAAAAAATGTCTATTAAGTCACTATTTATCACTAAATGAGGTAACACAATGGTGACTGAGCCTATGGCCAACTGTTGAAAGTACTCAAATGTTATATATATTTTCAGTATTACAAACTGTGTGTCTTTGGTGTTCCCGGAAAAGGGACTGAAAACTACTGTTCATCAAAAATGAGTCTACACGGTCCAATACTGACTTTTTGACTCCTCTACCAGTGGGGGAGTCAAAATGTTTTAAATATTTTTACCGACCATAAAACTGCATCATGCATCACTTTATGCACAAACACATTAGAAGATAATAACATGTAACGCACTACAGCAGAAACATAGACAGACATTGTGTAAGAAGCATCAGGTTGGAGCTGGTTTGATCTGATGATAAGTAGGGTGGACAGTGACTGAGGGTCACATGGTACAAATAAATAAACACAATGATGTAAACCCTTCCCTAAACTGTGACATTTTTTTTTGCCAAATCCCACATTTTGGACCCTGTGCGTCTACAAAACAAGACAATTTTGTGACCTGTAGTATTAAACCACACTTGCTCTTACCACCAGCAATTACAGGTGTAACTTTCAAAGGAATGACAAAGTTTCACAACATGAAATCCAACCACAGGCTTATGTAATAAATACAGCAATAATAATTAGGTAACATGAACATGAGCATTTCAAATTTAGGTGAACCTGATCACGATTCAATATTATAAAGATATTTCTTGGGAGGGTGAGGTTGAGGTAAGTGAGTTCATTGGCACAATTGTAGTTTTATGTTACTGGGAGTAGCATAGCTATTGTGTTTGTACAGGCTGCCATGCTCTGGTGAGCCTTTAACATAGAAGTGTACTGTGTACCCGTCTCTGCTTGCCTTTTGGC